ATAATAATTATTATATACAACATTTAATATAGCCCCCTATCTAGCTAAAATAAGCCACTCTAAAGCGCTTTACAGTACGTAGATATACAATCAATACAATTAGCACATACATTAATTAATACATTTTTTGAGGAATTTGTAGGAGCTGCCTTATCAGGCGCTAACTACTGGTCATATGTCACCTGGCTAATATCTCCCTAGGTGTGTATGCCTGCGTGTGTGCTGGAGACGAACATAACGTTCACCGAATCGAAGTACAACCTTAGTTACATATCTGAGCACTGCTAAGTCATAGGCCGTGACCTACTTTTCACAGATAAACCACATATGACTTACTTATGTTGACCTCCTCTTATTCACCATCAACATTAACAAAATTGAGATAAAATGTTTCAGCACAAGTATATCCTCTCTAAATACAATCGTACATACCTGATTGACTGTAATATATATATATATATATATATATATATAATACAATCCCTAATTGTATTTTGAAAATATATCTCAATATGGATAATTAAATTACCAACATAATTTGACTAGTATGACGTACACCAATTTTCCTAAGGTATTCAGGAAAAAAACCTTTTCTTTATCTATCACGAATTCAGGGATACTAGAAAGCCCTCGATGGTATGATAGAGCACTCAGTTTTTAAAGTTTTTCTTAAAATCACGCCATCGTTTAAGTAAGTTAATTAAGTTAAAGCTACTGTATCGTTGAATTTACCCCTATATGTTTGTGCCCAGTCGACCTGTACATGCATAGGCGCGAAACACGTTTTGTTGGAATATGGAAAAAAATATCTCATTAATGCAAGAGCGAGTCTGTCCAACACCTTCCTCATACGTGTACTCCTTGTTTCGAGTCTTGTAAACATTTTATGAAATTCCGCTCAAAATTTGCATAGTTGACCGATTTTACGGTTGAGTGCTGACAACAATACGACATCAGAATATTGCCTGGGGAAGTGATAATACTGGATCAAGTGTATTACTGTCACAACTTATCACGAAAACTGCATTTTCAATTTGGTATATTTGAGGGCAAAACAATAAATAACTTGTATTTTGGTGGAATTTATAACGAAGTAAGAAAATGTTGAACAATATAACTTATGATGGCCACTTCGGCCCGATTTTTTTTTGATATCCCGAGTTACATATTCTGCAACAGTATATATGCAAACGAATGTTGATTATATTTATTCTGCCACGTAAAACGTTTCGTGTCTAAGATGACAGTACCTAAAAGGGATCACCAAAACATCATTGTCTTCATCTATTGAATATCAGCGGATTAATTATATTAGTTTATGGTTGTATCAAAACTAAAGGAGAATGTCGATGTGTGTTCTTACCAACGAGATAAACACCAAGAGCTCACATGAGATATTTATAGAAACGGATCACGGCTTAAATTTTGCAATATTTTGCGTTTCACATTGAACATTAGTCTTTTGGCATCTTAACATTTTATAATGATTTTTGGAATGTAAATGAAAAAAAGTGTTTGTACATATTCTGCATTTATTTTTACAGTCCAAAACAAAATACTTAGTCCTCGCACGCGCCTGTTTTAACAACGTAAACGAAAAACTAGATTTAGAATTTGAAATACCGGAAGCCTTCTGATGCTATTTTAAAATAATAGTTTATCATCTCGAAAGTAAAAATGATGGATACTTTTTTTATTATTAGGATAACTTATTGTAATATCTTAACTGTAGACACATTTACTGAGATTAAATATTTTTGCAAGAGTGATCCGAATTGGGTACTGATCCGATTTGGGCCCTGCCTCCTTATACATATACACTGGGACCTGCAATATGGCGCGTTGTGATCTACTGAAAATCCAGTTATTTACATAATGTACCATCGTTTTGTATGCGCATGCAAACATATGTCACTATGATACTTGACACAGAAAGGCTCAGCGCTCTTATCTCAAACAGTGAAATAACTTCGTCTAGGGTTGATGGAAGTCTGTTACCCACATAGTCTCTGCTCGGCGTAGCTTGCGCAGACAACAATAGTCTGGTTGAACGAGACCATTGCCCATATAGTTACTTTTTCCTCCATTTGATAGAGATGTCCACAAGTCTGGCCAGGGAAAATGTTTCTTCTTACTCCAGGTGGAACATTATAGAGCTTGTCAAACAGGAAGTAACACATGTGTACGGCAGAACTGTTTAGTCAGATGAACAACAACATGTCGTCTGCTAGCGCTTGAAAGTGTGGGCCGTTGTTTTAAGATTATTTGCTATTGATAAAAATGACAGAGACAAACATTATTCAATATCACGAGGCACGAAAAGAAAAATCTCCATCCCAGGAAGACATGTTTGACTGTATAACGTTAGGCTAAAGCATATAAGGGAAACTGGTATCTTTTTCTGAGGACTTGTTTTAAAATCTTGTCCGTCCTATTCTGTCGTCGGAAAAATGAGTTTCTATGGGTATCGGTTATTCTGACGTGGGAATAATGAATATCTATGAATATCTGTTACTCTAAAGTCGGAATAATGAATATCTATGACTATATGTTTCTCTGTCGTCGGAATGATTACCTTTTTGACTTTTATAACCCTGCCGTCACAATGATTACCTTTCTATACGCCCGTCGAAGACGGGGACGTATTATGTTATCACGTGAGCGGGCGGGCGGGCATGCGAACGATGTCCGCTCGATATCTCGAGTAATTATTAACGGATTAACTTCAAACTTCACAACAAGATTAATTACCATGAAAGCTCGGACAAGTTCGATAACCGCCATTATCCGACAATAATTTGTGGAGTTATGCCCCTTTATGCACTTGCCGAAACAGTGTCCGCTCGATATCTCGAGTAATTATTAACGGATTAACTTCAAACTTCACAACAAGGTTAATTACCATGAAAGCTCGGACAAGTTTGATAACCGCCATTATCCGAC